ACAAAAATCAGGGTATCAATAAAGTGATTAGGATTAATTGCCTATTGAATTAATGACCAGCATTAAATATTTTAGTCTGAACCAAATGAGCAGCAACATAAGTTGTGTGAAAAAGTTGTGTTGAAAGTGGGTGTTTTCAGCAGTCTCACAACTAAATCGTTATTTATGTTTTAAATATTTAATGTTGTAGGAAATAACCATATTTGGTGCAGTGAATCATGAAATGAAGCTGTTGTTACCTCACAGCTTTGGCTGTTATCTTGTCAGTAGAGATATAAATGTTTATTTGTTTGATTAAAGCACACAAAGTCAGGCCATTAAAAGTCTTCTGTCAAAGCTTTGGTGAAAACTTTGTAAACTGTGATGAATAATTTAAAGACAACTATCATTTTACTTGAGCTTAGCTTGTGAGGTTGCCATGGAAGAGATGCATGCATTATTTACTGGCAGTGTGAGTCCGACTGTAAGGCAGTTTACAGGCTCCCAGTCATTTTTAGATCTGTTCAAACTGCGAGGATTAAATGTAGTTGTAATCCATGGGGAACAAACTAGGGTGTCTGAGCTAAGTGTCCACCTCCGAATGAGAAGTGAGGAGCTACGCTGCAATGTTGTGGAGGACCAGGTAATGTGGCAGAGAGTTTTTAATGGAGGGGTCGATGCCGATGGCTGGACAGGAGAAGCCACAGAAGCGGGTGAGGTTCCGCGTGGCATCGGGGAACAGCGGCCGGGTGCTGAAGGAGATATTCAAGGATGAGGGCCCTTCAGACTCCCTGGACTCAGACTGCACCAGCAGCTCTGACGCAGATCGGGCCAGCACCCCGTCTACAAGTGGAGACGTACACCTGTATGGATACCTGGGCTCCGAGCTGGACGACAGCGAGTATGAGCCTGATGAACTGCTCAGGTATGCAGGGGCCACAAAGGATTGGATGTTCACCACCAAGAGGGTCAACATACTGAGTAAAAATGGGACTGTAAGAGGGGTCAAGCACAAAGTCTGCGCGGGTCAGACGCTGTTTGAAAACCTTCCCAATACCAACAGTGTGAGTACATCTTAAAGGGCCTAGTTTTATCTTATTACCTCCGCCAATTGAGGTCATGATTCTAGTTCGATTTGTTTGTTTGTCAACAGGAATACAGAAAAACTACTGGCCACATTTTCATGATACTTGGTGGAGGGGTGTAGAATTTGCCAAGGACCAAGAGCCCATTACATTTTGGAGTAGATTCAAATCATGGGGCAGATAACACACATTCTTTACACTGGTTACCATTGTGAGATGGGGCATTCACCTTTTAGTGCCCTTTCATTTGTTTAATACAATCTGTATAACACCAGTTCCCATCAGTGTCATCCCTCGCCTTCAGTCTAGTTACAGGTAGGAGCAGTATGACTGGGAGAATAGCTCACAATAGAAGACAAGGTCACAGAGTAATTAAAGATTAATGATGCATTTCGGTAAGTGTTTCAAGAGAAACTAATCAGGTTAATGAATTCTCTGCACTTTCTAGTAACCCAGCAGGAAGAAGTGTTTGTTATTCTGAGGTAACTCTTTGGCTCGTGTCCAGATGCAAATGGTGATGGTGAGGGTCATATTGAAAAAGTTTTTTAACAAACATCATTATCGTCAATTCAATAGAGCTGGTCATCACATAGTGTTTCTTTTTAGGAGAAGTTTAAATACTTATAACAGTCATTTCTTATATTAAAGGAACATTCAGGTGTTTGACAGGTTGCATTGTCCTGAGCAATACACCTGCCATGACATAGAGGCATTCCCTACCAATGCGTGGGTATACTGTATGCGTCATATGGGTGAAAATAACTCACATTCAACAGTGTTCACCTGCAGCTTTTCTGTCAGCGGTATAAGTAGAAAGAGGTCCCTGCTCAATACACTACAGTACATAATGCATGATCTAACTTTTTTTTACATCCATCACAATGAACATTTTAATTGTATATATATTTATTTGATATAATAATATTTTTAGTAGTGAGTTGAAATGCTGTGCAGACTTATAACCTGCAATTCAAAAAAATACATGACTTGAAATGAGAAAGACCTATCATTTTGATGGGCCACCTGCTCTAACTTCAGCTATGTGCAAGTCTCTATACATTAAATTGATTTGTTTAAATATAAATATATTGATGGTCTAATTCCTAAAAGCTATTGAAACATTGCATAACTTGTAGTAGTAGTAGTAGTAGTATATAAGGCACATTTTATACGATTTGTGATAGTAATAATGGAAGTGATAACCTCCAAACACACAGCGCCCAAACACCTAGGAAGGGATTTGGTTACCAAATATGGTTGAATCCTTGCTTTACATTGACATATGTATGTCATTTGAAAACAAAAAGCCTCTCAATGCCTACAAATGTAGCTTTTAAAGACCCCTGTGGTTAATTTGATCCTTATGGATAACAACAACAACAAAAAACTGAATTCTGTTACTAAATTCAGGATTGTTACTTTTTCTTAGGTGGAGTTATCTCTTGAATTTGGGCGGATAGTGATCTACACTACCAGTTTCCGTGTGGTGAGGACAACCTTTGAGCGCTGCGAGCTGGTCCGGAAGATCTTCCAGAACCACATTGTGAGGTTTGTGGAGAAGAACATCGCCCTGGACTTCGAGTACGGGAAGGAGCTGGAAGAGCGGTGCAGACGTGTGGGAGAGCCTCCTTCATTACCAGTTGTGTTCATCGACGGACACTACCTTGGGGTCAGGTCTTATTCTCAGTCCTTTTGTAAAGATATCTGACGTCAATATCTTTCACATCCACACATTGAGTTGATTAAATATTAAATTGTGCTTCTCAGGGTGCTGAAAAAATACTAGGCATGAACGAATCAGGAGAGCTTCAGGATCTTCTGACAAAAATTGAGGTTGGTTATTACAGTGTTTGCATTGTAAATGACATTATGAATAATTAATTGTAGTAAAAATAGATTATATTCTTCTGAATCGAGTTGAGTCACAGAGGGATTTGACTCACACTGCTTGATTAATTATGTGTGTCATGTATAGCATATGTCATATTAAAACATAAGGTAATTATAGTCATAATAAATTATGCTTTGTGTTTGCCAATAGTTACTGAAATGAAGACGATGCAAACGGCAGCAGTCATTTCCCTATCACTTGCTGTGCTGTAAATAAAACATGAACAAACAGCAATGTAAAAGATGCATGCCCATCAATAAATTACCATCAATAATGTTATTGATTTAGTCTCAACACATTTGTTCAAACACACCAACGCAGAACACATCGCTCGGTGGTACAAAACGATGTGTAAACTATTTCTGCGTCTCCCTCAGCTGGAGCAACTTCTGTCTCACAAACACTGGCCTTCTCTCAGGCCTTGCTTCTAATTTGGACCCAATGAAAGTCTTCACAAGTGAATACGAAGCAGTGTTATGACATTTAAGTCATGCATCTCAGTCACTGCAGGCAATTTAAAAAAGAAGCTGGGAAAGGTCATGCATGAACTAATCAGTCCAGAACTGCCCTGCAACATGGCTTTATTGTGTGTTTGTATCTGTTATACTCCTGGGGTGTAAAATCTTAACATTTTGAAAATGAAGTTTTGTTTAAAAAAGTAGCTACACCTTTTGGGTAAATACACCATCCTGTTGAGAATTAGAGGAGAAGGTTAATATGGCTCATACTAAGCTCATTTTGAAGCAGAATTGTCTGTATTTGTTAATATTGACTGATATGTTAAAAAGATGTAACTGGCAGCAGCAACTGTGCAGCCATTTACAGACGTTTTTTGACACTGCTGTTCTTCTTTTCACTATTTTGGAGATATCTTCTACTCAGAATTACTGAGGATGACAGTTATTCTGACTTGGTCACTCCTAGTTATGGTCTAAAATGATAAGGTTTATTTACAAGATATGTGCCAGACTATTTCTTGGTTCGGGGTAGTGACTTTCTGGAGTGTGTGCGTGCGCTGCAAGAGATAGTCTGGCACATTACATCCAGTTAAACCACAACTTGTCATTTAAACATATAAGATATAACGTGTTTATGCATTAGCTTTAGAGATGCTGGTTATCTGATTTGTTTAACTCTGCATAGAGCCAGACCAGCTGTTTCCTCATTTCTAGTCTTTATGAGTATTATAAATTTCCCAAAATGTTAGAGTATCCCTTTAAAGGTTTGAAATTGTTATTTGTACTAAATGTAGTCTATGTTTTTCTAGAGGGTTCAGCAGCCCCAGACGTGCCAGACCTGCGGGGGCTTTGCCTTCATCCCGTGCCCAATGTGCCATGGCAGTAAGATGTCCGTGTTTCGCAACTGCTTCACGGATTCCTTCAAAGCCCTCAAGTGCACTTCCTGCAACGAGAACGGCCTGCAGCCCTGCGAGAGCTGCAGCCACTGAGGATGTTAAGTGCCTGAACCAAAATCCTGACCCCTCTGGGAATTTCACTGGACTGTAAAACACAGGCAGTGAAATTAAACACATCAGGACCCTTCCTCCATGGCCATTGATTGTAAAGAAAAAATAATTTGTAATAAAATCTGTGAAATCATGGATCTGGTGTTGTTTGTATGGCACATTTCTAAAATTCACATCAAGCTATTTTTTTGAATTGTCTTCCTTCTCCTTGAAATGTGTCCTTAGGAGTCTGTATGTCTGTCCACCAAGGAGCCATGAACTAGTTTCACCTTCGGTAAGCTTCTTATTGAATTAGTGAGGAGGCTCCTTCTTTAACAATGCTCCCATTACTGATCCCACATCAGACAGAGCTGAGGATAGAGGAGACACAGGACAGAGAGGGAAAGTAAAAAGGCTCAACTTGCAGCCAGTAGAGGGCATGAAACTGAACCCTTGCTCAAAGTGGAGCACCAACCCTTATTCAATCTGTATATTAAACTTTAAAAATCTAATATAATCATAGGTGTATCAAATAAATAGGAAACTAGTCATTTATAGTAAGATATACACAGTGGAATTCAAAGAAATCAAGAGAATCCAACATATTTCAGTCTTTTTAATTGTACATTATATATTCCATGGTGTTACATTAGAGCTCAGTCGATTAGACATTCAGATAAAAATGTAGATCAGCAAATACTTACTGATAATTGATAAGTTGTTTATTGTAATATTTAAGCAGAAATGCCTGGACAGCCTTTAAAGAATTAGGATTTGCTGATTTCCTTTGTCTGTTTTTGAAGTCTCTTCTTGGCAACTGAATATCTCCATCTGTTGGTTGTGCAAAAACAAGACCTTTGAAAATGTCAAAAATCTGGCTTCATGAATTTGTAATACACCAAACAATGCATCGATCATGAACAAATTAATCAGTTTCGGTCCCATAGTCTAAAAAAAATATGCCTCGAGAGTCTAAAGTCTTTGTTTGGTTCAGCAAAAAGAATATTTTTTTCATAGATGGTGAGAAAAGAACCAAGCAATTGTGGGAAGACCTTCATTGACAGCAGTGTTTTGAAATACATTTCAAATTTCCAAAATCAAAAAAGGAAAAGGGGGATGCTTAGCTTTGTCTCCAATGCAATGGTAAAACTAGAGGCAAAAACGTTTTAATCCAGGAGCAGCACAATGCAATATGACTGATTGGTTCAATAATGAATTGGCTGCAAAGGGATTTAGGTTTGCATTGGATAATTCAACCCAAGGAGAACTCAATGTGCTCCAGTTTTCTCCAACCGTAAACAAAGCAATGCATTTCATTTTTACACGACATTGGCATGAAAATTGTAAAACAAGTGACTCTTTAGTCAACATTTCTCACATGCAATCCTCGCCGTTTAGTGTTTTTAACGGATGATGTCATTTGGTGGCTGCCATCCAAAGGGTCAGAGAAACGCAGCTCAGCTCTCTATGCTGTCATAGCCCTGTACAATGCTGCTTGAACATGATTAGACAAGGCAGCACTGTAAAGAGGCTAAAAGCGTAGAGCAGTGTGGTGAAAACGATGATCATCCGCCGCAATGAAGACCTTTCCCCCTGCCATCTCACACTGGTCGCTCTGGATGCTCCTGCACCTGTGAATGAAACAGCAACAAAACCGATTATTCAAGTAAAAAATAAAAAAAAGGAAACAGAAACGGTGCGTAAAAAAAGCGTGATGATGTTTTTTTCTCAATGGGTAATGGGAGATGGACACTGCTGCACAACATCTCGTTTCTTTAATTCAATTCCGCACCGAAGAGTAATGGGGTTTGGGATTTTGTAACCGCAGGCTTGTGGTGATGGAGGGGAGGTTGCATGAACATATGAGACCCCAACTGTGCGGGTTTACTGCGCCCCCTTCTGTGGGCTGCTGGAGACGAACACAACGGGGAGGAAAAAAACAAAAACAGGATGCATCGATGATTATTATAAAAACAGCTACATTACCTGAAAATTCCCAACAATATAAAGCAATGAATAACAGTGAAAGTGACAATGTGATGCGCGGAAGGATTGAGGATGTGTTTGGTGATCTCCAGGCGAATGTTTCCTTTATATTAATGAGCCCAATCAGCCTGCTTTTTTATTTAAATCAACGTGCACAAGCGATGCTTTCTTTATCTGAGGTGGGGAGACATGAAAGGAAACGAGATGGGCACTGGCACAACTGACTTGGGAATGGTATGACGAGACATGACACTGATATGCGCGCAACACCCAAAATGTTAAGACAACATTCAATGGTGTAAAAACCTGCATTGGTGTTTGTCCGCATTGTCTCCTCTCTCCGGGATCGGTGAAAAAAATAATTCAGTCGAGTAGTCTATAGCGTGGGTCCAGCCGCGATGCTGTGCGTAATGTTTTGAACGGTCGGTCAATGCGCAGACTGGTTGGAAATGACTGTTTTTATTGACGTCAGCGTACAGGATAGAGCCCCCCCCCCCTCTCTCTCCTCCCTACAACTGCAGCATCTAATGGACTTGGGTTTACATTCCAGTCAACCATCTGAGCTTTAAACAGGAAATAGAATCCAATCAAAAAAGCAAAATTCAACACAATGTACCTTTTGGCTGTTCCAGAAGATTCTCAATGCATCCAAAGAGCATTTATTGGGGATCAAATCTGGGTACGGTCTCCTACAAGACCTCCAACATCTTAAATAAATTGTGTCCTACATCTCACACTACACACACATGAAGCAGTAAATGAAATCTGACCACTTGACAGAAAAGCAAAGCAAAATAATTTAATAAATTATTACAAATTTATTCCAACTCCTTCAGCAACATGTTACAACCGACGGGAAAATATTATTACACTATTAACACCTTCAAAAATATATATCCACCCTCCCAGCAGAGCTCTCCAGGCCCGACCTCCTGAAAGAAAGTAACATGTTGAAGCAGGAAGGCGATCGGCTGAAGTGAATGCAGAATGAAAAGCCAAAAGCAAAGTCACTGTATGATGCACACACAATATTCAGCAGTAACACCAAGTAGGAGATAGTTCACTTGATCGTTTAATACAAACTGTACCGGGGTGTCATGAATTATTCAAAACATGTTTGAGACGGGGCTGGTCCAATCATTTTTCAATATGGATATCTTATTTACACTTGTGCATCCCTCCATCCCTTCATCTTTGGATCAGCACTAAGAGCCACCTGGTGATCAGCTGCTGACCTCATGAGAACATCAAGAGCTGGCAGAGAGAGTAATGAAGTGAAAGAGAGAGATGCCACTGCCTGTAATTTCAGTTCTTGGCTTGGAACTATGTTCACACATTCAATTTGACCTTATATAAAGATCAAGATGTCCAATAAATGGATAATTCATGTATTTGTTAGTTAGATTCTCAAATTGTCTTCATAATAAAACAGGAATATATTGACTTGAAGTGATAACACCCTGTTTTCTATTTGTTTGCTTAAGCTAATGCTTAATAAGTACTACTGTATTTAACCTTAACTCACTCTAGCTTATAATAAAATAAAACGTCTTAATCACGCCTTTTTATTTGTATTTTGCTCGCTGTAATAGCATAGATCAAATCTATTAATCACAAACTCTCTTCATTGGAGAACCAGCAGCAGCAGCATTGTGCTGTTTTCAGTTGTCCTTTTTTCACATTAAAAGAAAAAAAAACATCTAATATTGTCTAGCAGTTAAATAAATCTTGTTTGAATATGTATCTCTCAGGTTTCCTCTTGTTCTAATGAAGGAAACAGTCACTAAACGCTTTGAGCACCAGGAATTATTATCATTACTGTGGTTCAAGCATCACAATATAATGAAGTTCAAGTCTAGTAAATCATACTGGTCCTGTTTCTTGATTTTTTTGTTGTCGTGTGTTTTCAACCAAATCCAAACACATTCACACAGGAATGTGAGTTCAATTAAACAACCAGAAGACTAAACTGTCAGAGATGGATGTGAACTACAACAGAGATTTACATTTCTCTTTAAATTCAAGGAGAACAATAACAGTTCTTAGTCCTCAGCCAGAAACACTCACACTCAAATGTGAAGGTGCATCTCTGGCAGGATGAATTCTCGGCTAATCGAAGTTCAAGCATCACAAAGAAAGCAAATATAATTTCCCAATCACTGTCCTCAGGTATGGTTATGGTCTGTTCTACAGTAAGACTTGATGAGTTGTGCAGAGACGGAGGTTTGTTCTTGGTGGTCAGGATTGGAGGCAGACGGGACCCTCCTTCACCCTCTGCTCTTCTTGTTACAGCGTGATGTTCCTCAGCAGACACTCAACAGGTATTATAGAATTTCCAAATCTACATGACGAACCTCCGGGTTACGTTGCTGCAGAGGAACAAAACCAGGTTACATAAACATATGTGTTTGCTGTGCAGATACATTTCAATGATGGATAAAAGGAATACCATGCTGAAATGCTAAAAATAGGAGTTTTTATTTATTTTTTTGACAACATTGTTATCATTTCAGTACCTTGAGTTCTTTCTCCAAGCGGTCCACCTCGACTCCCAGGGTGTCGATGATGTTCTCCCCGTGTTTCAGCATGAAGCTCTCCAGCTCCTCGGGGGTCTTCACCAGCTGAATTTCCTGCAGACAGAAAAGAAAATAGAGAAAAATGTAAGCTTTAAAGATGAATAATTAAATCTGACAAATTATTTCATGAGTCAAGTTCAGGTTTGACAAGATTCCTTTTCCCAATAAATAAAAAAAACAAATTCTGTTAAAACTGCTTCAACCAGACCGAAGAGGGTCATTTAGGATTTCCCCATTCAGTTTGTGGGCACACATTTGTTAAAAGTCACCGTCTAAGCTGCATTGTAAGGGCTGTTTTGGTCAAACACTCGAAGGATGTACATACAAATGTAGGTAGGAAAACAAAAACATTTTGTTCTCTCTGTAACGACTCATTTTATGTTGGCATCAAAGACGTGTTTATTGCCTACGATTAATAGTAGGCAATAAAAAGTAATAAAAAGGTAGAGATCAACCTTGGAAGTTAAAAAAGTTAAAGAAAGGAAAGCTGTTTTATACAACATATGTATTTCAAAGGAAGGAGGTATACAAATATAAATAATAAACAACTTACATTGAGCATCAGGTCAATGTCTTGTTTTTCCAGATAAGAACGTGTCACCACTCGACCATCAAAGTCAACTTCAGCCTTGAAGCGGACTTTGCTCAGCCCGAGATCAGTGGCCTTCACATCGTGGATCGCCCTGTTCGTAAGAAAATAATCATTTAGGAATCATTCAGGTGATGTGGGTAGGTAGGTAAACTATCATTCTTTAACATGGTCACATTGTTACTGAATACTTTTAGTGGATTAGAAAATCCTATCCTACAGACTTAAGACCACACTGTTTAATTTCTCAAAGTGAAGACTGTGCATGCTGGGACAGGGGTATTAACCAGAATCCCTTTTCCCTGCTCAGCTGGCCCTAAAGACGGTTGCATGTAAACACCAGGGAATCTATTTTAAGCCTGACTGTGTCCATGGACATCAGTGTGAGCCCCGCAGTGTGCCGGTCCAATCACTGACCTCACTGCAGGGTCGTTCTCCAGGAACTCGGTGAGCTTCTGCACGCGGTCGGGCTGGATGGAGCGGCCCAGCAGAGCCTCTGTGTTCGTGTAGATGAGGAAGGCTGAGACGCCGCCCAGCAGGGTGCCCACCCCCAGAGACCCCAAACTGTCGTAGTAAGGGTTACCTGCAGAGGACAGGGGAAAGGATACAGATAGAAAAGAGTGAAATAAATCTGGATCATTGCCACATTGACAGGAGAGACCAAAGGAAGGAAACATGAGAGAAATCAACCCAGTAATAAACCCAAAGTAATAGTAGTATACAAATAAGCAATAAAATAAGAACTCATTACATTGCATGACTTAGGATAATATCTTTACAATCAAAGTCTTTGTGTCTGTACCTGTGAGGGAGGTGAGCCCCATGCAGCTGGCAGCCATGATGACTCCTAACACAGCCGCAGCGTCCTCGAGCAGCACCACGTTAGTGCTGGGGTCTCGACTCTGCATGACTGCACACACAAAAAAAACACGGTACACATCAACCATATCCTGAACAGCCAGATATGTACATTTAGAGACTGGCACTGATTGAAATGATATGTTAAAAGTATGTTTCTTAGTTTCGTTTGTAGCATTATGGCCGATATGATTTGAGTCAGATTTTTCTTCAGGAAATGCAGATGAACTGTGCCTGAATGACCCTGTCTCTGGGAAGTAGGGATGCTCCGATTGATCGGTCACCGATCGAGATCTGCCGATACTCACTCTCTACCGATCGATCGGTGCTCTCTAAACATGCCGATCGCGAGAGGCGATCGTATGACGTAAAATACATGACACTTTTCTCTGTGCGCGGCAAAAAAAGCTCGACAAAATGGCTTCACCGGTCTGGCATTATTTTAAGGTGTCCGAAAAAAACAGTAAAATAGCGGTATGCAACGTGTGTGTGAAGCAGAAATCCTGCAGCTCCACCCGCTGTGACGGACCGGTGAGCGGAGCAAAACACACACTAAGAGTTAGACCTTACACACTTAGCTATTTTATCTACCTCTGGAACTAGTTTTAAATATATTTATTCTTCACTGT